ACTCGCGTTACCATCCATACCATCTGGATGATTGGCGGTCCAAGAAGTTTTCTTCCTCGCACTACTTCCTTGTGGAATCAATTACCACCAGCGAATTTTCCGGACCGATACGACTTAGGAACCTTCAATAAAAGAGCTTACACCTTTCTAAAAGGCCGGCAACGCATCTGCAATTCCCCTGGTGTTGCGGTTGTTCATGGGTGGTGGTAGTCACTTACCATCAGGTGAGCCGCATGGTCGTTTGCCCCCTCTTGTATAAAAAAAATATAATTTTGATAAGAGGTTGTATTGTTATGCCATATAACCAACCTATACAAGTCCCAGTGATGTACACAGGCCTCTGTTATTCTAATTTCTGAGTGTTGTTAGGTCGTGAAAAGTGCGTCGATCCTGTATATTTCGACGGACTTATAATATTTTTTTATGGTCTTAGTTATGCAGGTTTCCTTCCACTATCAGCAAATGATAAATCAGCACTTAAAATTGCAATAAACCATTCCTTTGGAGTTGACGATAAAAATACAGGTTAAGATCGCTCAGCGAACTATAGTGAGGGTTATGTTCGGAGTTTCTCTGGATGATACACTGAAAAATGAGGATATCCGCGAAAGAATGATAATATTTTTATAAGACAATTAAGAGTGTTTCTAATCAATAAATGTTATTATACTTTATATGAATATCTGAATGATAAATGCAATACTATAAATAAATTAATGAATAATATAAATAATGATGGTATAATAATAATTAATGACATAATAATAATAATGAATAATAAAACATTTTTGCGTCCTCCTCTTGGTATACCCAACAAGGTTAATATTATGATAATATCATTTATTAATTTATACATTATGGAATGCAAATAAATATTGAGTATTGAGCATTGAGAACCAAAGTGACCGACATAGTCCAACGGATTAGCATGCTGAATGATGGCGATAGTCAATATTTACTTACCTGAGATGTTATAGTAGTTTAAATTAAATCAAATCATTTATTCGCTTTAAATATGGTAAATTAGATTGTACCCATCAGTATCGGATTCTCATATTTTACAGATATGCAAAACTCTGGGCAACATTTATAAAATTGAGATTTTCACATTTGATAACAAAATCTTTAAGAATAGTGATTAAAAAGTGAAACGAAAATAAATAATGAATAGAAAATGTCAATAATTGTTGTACAGTAAAACCCTATGCAATATTCCCCTTGTATAATGACGGTAGGACGTAAAATACACGCGCACCGTAAACGTTATATCTGTGAATACACCTGTAATCTCGCGCCGAATTATTAAGTGTTTGCCTAGTTCCAGTGCCAAATGGTAACGTATTACCGTTTTGCCTACTATTACCCTTTTACATTTCCCAAAATCCCTTCATTTTCATATCTATAATTTCATATGAAAATAACTGTTTGGCGATATAACCTTCTCGTTTATGATTAATTGCTGTGCAGCGATGGCGTAGGAGATCCACCACCACATATATCTCATGAGTATCGTAAGAAGCGACGAAGGGAAACAGCAATAGGAGATGGGCAACAGCATATTCTCTATAACAGCTCAAGATAATAAAAATCTGCGGTTGCTAACCCACATGCCAAGCATAGCAACTATGGCATAATACCCCTTTAATGCATTCTATGGGGAGGCATATGTTTAGCAGTGGACTTTTATAGGCTGTAATGAAATAAAAAGGGCGCGAAGGTTTTTATTTTATTATAATTAATCCGGTATATGTGAGAAAATTTGCCAAAAAAGAATGCGCGGACAGTTTTAAATAAGATAATCTCTACCTCATTTACCGGTATTGCCCCGAATTCCCCAATTATAAAAGTTATAATCACTTTTTACTAAAACACTGCTATCAATTTGTTGCTTTAATAATTTAGCCCCGGGGTTCAAGTACAGTCAACAACATATATGTATATTGAGAGACTAATTGCAAATCGACGAGAAGCGTTTGGGAGCTATTTGCCATAGTTTCACAGTCAGATCTTATTGTTTTGAGCTGTTATCGAGAAGATGCTGCTACCCATCTCCTGTTTCTGTTGCCCTCTGTCGCCTCTTATAACACATGCACAAATGTTTACTGAAGAGAGAAAAAAATCAAATATTATACCCCATGCTACTTCGACAACTAAGGCGAATCATTAAGACATTCTCTCGAAAAACATTACCAATAATAACAATGACGACATCCACGACTTTTTCTGCCTCCAGGGCGGCGCCACTAGAAAGTGAGGTATAAATATTTTATATATTTCATAGTGTTCGGAAAATGTAATAGTTATTGTTTCTTTTTGTACTGTTAGCTATATTTTATATTACTAAAATTAAAAATAAATAAACCAAACCCATAAAATTTCATCATTCATAAAATTAGAAAAACAAAAATTAAAGAGCAAACCGGATATAATACTCTATAAACTGTTAAATTAAAAAAAACAACTTCTCAATTAAATTACAATGTGTAACAAAAAACATTACCTCAGTGTCAACTAGCGACATCTGGTGAGCAGAAAATTATCAGCCCTCATTAAATTAAAATTATTCTCCTTCTGTGGGAGTCGAGTAAAACGATGATACTATATACTCTTTAGAAGGTTTAGCTTACCTTATCACAAAACCAACTTTGCTACTCTCAAAAATACATTTAACAGAACTTCAGTAATTTTAAAGGTTACCTTGCTTGGGTTTTGTTTTCAGTTAAATTAAATATGAAAACATTTAAAGACGTTGAGAAGAATTTCTGTCGGCACCAGAAACTAGTGTGTATGTCATTATGATCAATCACTCTGATGACATTAACATAGGTGGTAAGTTACATTCTGTATTTTTTACGTCATGGAGGTCGTCCCTATATCTTGAATGCCACATCGCACGGTTCTGAGCCAACTGCATATGTCGGTTTCTACATATATTACCAGGTCGGCATTTTATGTTATGGGGTGCGTTCTACACTTCGCTTATCGGTAGGAGACTGCCATTGAGATCCTTTCCTACTCATCGATTGTCGAATCTTCGAGCCGAAAGGCCCTCTCTTCACTGCAAAAGGGAGCCAGCTAAATTTGGCTCCTTCTTTCCGAAATGTATCACTGGAATAGACTGACCGCCTTCAACTGTTGGGGGTTGAGATATCTCCAAACCTGAACTTTGCGCGGCTTATCGAGTCCGGTGGTACTTCACGCCGGAGCAGTTGCTTACTCTATATTTTTTTATTTTCCTTTTAAAAAACCTTACTCCCACCACACTAGGTTTTTCTCCTGTATCATGGAGGCAGTTTACAAACATATATTGCACAAGGACAAAAATCCAGACCCGGAACAATTATTTGTAGGCCATATAAATACGTGTTCTGTGCGGGATTCGAATCCGCGGCCCCAAGCGTTGCAACTCATTGCTAAGCCACTACGCCACGGAGCCGTCGTATATGAAGCGCAAGTTCGATCATGCATGGAGTATTGCTACCATATATGGGTTGGTGCTGCAAAATGCCACATAGCAGCTTTGGACTCCATGGAAAAGCCTGCAGAGGCTTATTGGTGGCTCGAATATGGTTAAAACCGATCTTTCCAGCCTCGATCACAGGCACAAAGTAGCCAGCTTTTCGTGTGCGCAGAAATTACATAACATAATTCCTCTCTCTCCCTTCCACTAACGGACAAAAAGGCATTCGGCCGTTTCCACCCTTTCGTTGTCGACTTACTACGCATTCGAACCAAATAGCTCGCTACAACGTTCATCATGCGTACAGCAAAGGAATGGAATAAGTTGCACACATTTATCTTTCCATTCGATTACAATGCGTGTGTCTTCAAGACAAGTGTGGTAAATAGGCGTTTTTAAGTCAGTGTTTTTCACCTAAGATGATGGATGGCTACATCTCCACTTACCATCACGTGGGATTGTAGTTAAGCACTGAGTTAGAATAGTAAAAAAGTTCTTTCGATGTCTTATCAAATTACACAAACTAAAAATTATGCAATTTAGAGATAATAAATAGCTGCTGTCAAGGATATTTGTCATAGTTGCTACACTTGGTAGACGGGTCGCCAATCGCAATTTTTAATTATTATGAGCTGTTATCAAGAAAATGATGCTGCCCATCTTCTGTTTCTGTTTCCCTCCGTTCCTTACGACACCATCGGGATGATATGTAGTGGTGGAATATCCCACACCGCCTCTATGTGGCAATCTATTATGTACGAGAAGGTTATGTCACAGCCGGTTAAACTAACCGGTTACTATCTGCAATTTATTTGGTTAGGCATAATTTTGAGATAATAAATTGCTAGTGTTACGAATTACACGCTTCTAACTGTACTTGATTAATACTTCACAGTATGGATCTGTTAATATCATCATTACTTATCACAGTTATTTATACTTATAAAATAAGTGATTCAGGTCGAATCGTAGAACGAAAATTAAAATGTTTTAGAGAGGTTTTTATAAAGTATGAAAGTATCATTTCTGTATAGAACGAAAAACAGTATGAAAGTATTTTTGGTAATAGCTTCTATTTTAGTGTAGTGCGTTATACTCGGAAATATTTTTGAAACAAGTTACAAAAGATGGCGAAATCAAAATGGATAACTCCATTCGTAAAACAGGTATGTACTTTTAGACTTAGAACACGAGAAGAAAGATTTTTGTACTATTTCAGTGATTTTTGGTTAGGCATAATTTTGAGATAATAAATTGCTAGTGTTACGAATTACACGCTTCTAACTGTACTTGATTAATACTTCACAGTATGGATCTGTTAATATCATCATTACTTATCACAGTTATTTATACTTATAAAATAAGTGATTCAGGTCGAATCGTAGAACGAAAGTTAAAATGTTTTAGAGAGGTTTTTATAAAGTATGAAAGTATCATTTCTGTATAGAACGAAAAACAGTATGAAAGTATTTTTGGTAATAGCTTCTATTTTAGTGTAGTGCGTTATACTCGGAAATATTTTTGAAACAAGTTACAAAAGATGGCGAAATCAAAATGGATAACTCCATTCGTAAAACAGGTATGTACTTTTAGACTTAGAACACGAGAAGAAAGATTTTTGTACTATTTCAGTGATTTAGTGTTAACAACACAGACTTTTTTATTTTTTTAACGTTATCGTGGAGGAAGTTTACATAAATAAATTGTACAACGATCCACATCCAAAGCTGGAACAATTATTTGTCGGCCATATAAGTACTTGCTTCATGCGGGATTCCAACCCGCGGCCCTCAGCGCTGCATCTAATTGCAAATCACTGCGCCACGGAGCCTTCGCTTTATAACTTCGCTGGACACGGGCTAGACAGGTGTATAATGGGGGATTGATGATGATGATTCTTAGTCTAAACTATTAACACATAATTACTATTTTATGGGCACTTATAGTATGTGGTCGGCCGATGTCATGAAGAAGCAGTGGCGAAGTGTTGTTCACCAATCTGGATTGTTTGAGTGCCAGGTACCATCATTTATAATTCTTGTCAATAACGGTCAGCAGTAACTTTGACAACAGATGGCAACACTAACGACTGTGATTTGAGATTGTCGATAGGACTTTTGTTCGTTCGACTCCAAGTTCCCCTTCCTTTATGTGCCGATTCAGAATTGGACGCAGGTTTCTCGCTTGTCGCTTGATTATTCAGTTAATCATTTATTAAGGTACATTTATAAATAATATATAGCCTATGTCACTCCCACAATTAAGACAAATCTATAGACACCTCATATTATGTCCATCAAGCCGGATATACAAACTTTCGAAACACATTTCCTTCATTCTGGGGCAATAGGCTAAAATAAACCCAAAGCAACAATTGATATTGAGTAATTAAAAATTTTGTACAACCGACTTCAATATAAATTATTAAGAATAACTCAGAAACTATTAGTCAGACCTTGATCAAATTTATATGGGACCACATGTGAAGCATCAGCTCCCAATTAAAAAAAGAATCATCGAAGTCGTTTCACCCAGTAAAAAGTTATGAGGTAACACACATAAAAAAAAACACAGTCGAATTGAGTACCGGCTCCTTTTTGAAGTCGGTAGAAAAGGAATAAAATGCCATTTACTTGAATTTCGGATTCCAAGCGAAACCAAATACAAAACCAAACAAAACGGCAATTTAGTATCTAATGTTAAATGCCAACTGTTTGATTTTCTTATCGAATTATTATTAATGTTCTACTGATCTACTGACATCGGATCATCATTGGATAACCTTTATAATGAACTTTATTGTCTGTTCTGATTCACATCAGCTAGTCACAATTTAATAAGTTTGTCACACTTATATACTTATATATATAAGTGTGATAAACGAGCACACAGTCCACCTGATGGTAAGTGAATGCTGTGGCCCATAGACATCTACATTGAGGATAGACGGCTCCGTGGCGCAGTTGCTTAGCAATGAGTTACTGCGCTGGGGGGCGCGGGTTCGAATCCCGTACGGAACAAGTATTTGTATGGCCTACAAATAATTGTTCCTGGTCTGGATGTTTGTCCTTGTGCAATTTGTGTTTGTAAACTGCCTCCACGATACAGGAGAAAATCCTAGTGTGGGGGTAACGTTTTTAAAATAAAAAGAAATAAAAAAGAAAGAAATAAGATGTCTATGTACCATACCAACCATGTATATAATACCAGCGTAAAATAGCAGCTTAACACTGCTGTGTTTCGTATGGTGAGTGTAGAGAACCGGATACCCTTTTTACTGGAAAGGAGGTGTTTGGTACTTTGTTATAAAGGAAACACTGGAGACGTTTTTGATTTGGTATATTTGCTCTCACGCACGTTCGTGATAACCTTTTTAATGGCCGCTTTATCGACTGTGGTTGCTAAAAGCAAGCAGCACAGATGTAGCGCCATCTATGGTTCTCTATGTGAACTGTTTGTTCCAGTTAGGTAAGTAGTTTATGAAAGGAAAGAGAACCATAGATGGCGCTTTACAAATGGTAAGGGTAGATGGCGCCAATATTGTGTTTACAACATGCTCCCCCCCTTGAAATAGTTAAATATTTCTACTAATAAGTTTAATTAGGTTACAATAAATTAAATCTAAAATAACTTGTGTATTATAAATTTGTTTCAAATAAGCTATCTACCTGTCCACCTACTCTGATGATTTTTCAATGAAACCCACACAACATAAACATTTATTGTAGTTTCACAAATAAATATTGGGATGTACTAACTTAATGCAATACAGTTGAGTACTACATAATTATAACGAATGAATTTAAGATACATTTGTTTGAAATAAGTATTACATATTATGAAATATGAATCTAAGTTACAGGCAAAAATAATATAATATAATAGTGTGACACTAAAGATACCTTAGGTTATTTAAATTGATACACAAGATACATTACTTGGTTACAAGAAAGGTTAATACTTAATGTACTAAGTTAAATAAGTAAGTTAATGATTATCTTGTATTGGTAGAGGACAAATCTTCGGGAACGAAAGCTTGATGCTGGAGCCCTGCGATGTCTTCAGTGTGTACACGCGAGTCAATCCGTCGCCCCCGGGGTGTGTCTCGATGATTCTCGCTAGTCTCCACTGGCATGGTGGCGTGTGCTTGTCTTTGATGCGAATTACGGAGCCCGCTGCCCCTTGGAGCTCTGCCACTTGCCTCGTTGTTGGAGTAGCCCCACGTTGTCTCTTGAGAAGCCCTTCCATAAGGATTGATAGATCTGTTGGAGTTGTTGAAAGTATTTAAGTCTGTTGGTAGGGACTTCGTCGTATTGATAATCCGGTAGTGCCACTGGAGTTCTTCCTATCAGGAAGTGAGCTGGTGTAAGGACTTGGAATACTTCGGAATCGTAAAAGGGAATAGGATATAAAGGTCTGCTGTTAAGGATTGCCTCTACCTGAATTAATACTGTTGAAAAACCTTCATAGGTAAGTAAACTTTGTTTCAGGACACGCTTTAGATGATATTTGCAACTTTTAACAGCGCCCTCTGCCAAATCATTCATGTGAGGTGAGTAACTAGGTACAAACTTCCATACGATACCTTGCTCGGTACACGAGGTTGTCAATTCGTTAGAGCTCGTGTTAAGAAAATCGTATAATTCCCTTAACTCCCTATCGGCACCCCGGAAGGTGGTGCCGTTGTCGCTCACCACCACTCGTGGCTTCCCGCGTCTGGCTATGAACCCTCTAAACGCTGACAGGAAGCTATGAGTTTCTAGACCTGTAACAAGCTCAATATGTACGGCCTTCATTAAAGAACATATAAAAATGGCTATTTAAGACTTGTAAGTTTTGTAACCATGCCCCTGCCTGTCTTTAAGTAGAAATGGACCCGCATAATCTAGTGCCACAGTGTAAAATGGTGGTGCTGGTTGCACTCTGTGACCTGGTAGGTCGCCCATTGTAGGCGCTGTTGCCTGTGGCTTGGCTCTGAACCAAGGTTCTCTATAAATGTTATTTGCTAAAAGCTTACCCTTGATAGGCAAGTACTGCTTAGCAGCTGGGGTCCTGCATGCATGAGGCGGACGTACTCGTTCCTCATAATTAGCTTAGTTAATGTGTGATTGCTGTGTAGTATGATGGAATGTTTTTTGTCAAATTCGTAGTGTGATTGACTAAGTCGACCTTCCACCCTTATAAGATCATTGTCCATAAATGATTTAAGACTCAAAAGTTTTGAGGTTTTAGGCAATTGTGAATTATTTTTAAGTAGTTTGTATTCATTAGGCAATGATTCTATTTGTGTAAATATCATTAATTTATTAGCAGCTTGCCTTTGTTCCTGACATGAAATCGCACCTGTAATTTTGTTATTTTTGTTTTTACAATTGTGTAAATATCTTAGTATGTATGCAAATATACGAAATAGCTTAGTTTCACTGGACTACCTTGAAATTAAATCATTTACGAACGTGCTGTCGTTAGTCCCATTTTGTGTTGTGTTGCATAATGTTTTGTGTGGGGGTCGTTTTGCCTTAAGCTCAATTAATTCTTGGGTTTGTTGTTTATTTAGAGGCCTCACCTTGTAGTTTACTCAGAAATGTTGTACCTTCAAACTAAAATTTAGAGGTAGATGTGCAGTTAACTAATTTGTCTGGTAAAACTCCCCTTGAAAGCAAATCTGCAGGGTTTTCATTACTAGGAACTCTTTACTAGGTAACTTTGTTGGCTACAAATGTATCGAGCTTATGAGGTTCTGTGTTTATCCACGCTAATGTGATAGTAGAGTCGGACCAGTTTCCGGCGGCGTCGCCTGTAAAGGTATTTCTCCAATTTACGGCGGCGTCGGCAGTCGTCACACGCAGATTCCACGTTTCACAGGGGTCACCAGTTTATTTGGTACTTTGTTATAAAGGAAACACTGGAGACGTTTTTGATATGGTATATTTGCTCTCACGCACCTTCGTGACAACCTTTTTAATGGTTGCTTTATCGACTGTGGTTGGTAAAAGCAAGCAGCACAGATGTAGCGCCATCTATGGTTCTCTGTGTGAACTGTTTGTTTCATTTAGGTAATTAGTTTATGAAAGGAAAGAGAACCATAGATGGCGCTTTACAAATGGTAAGGGTAGATGGCGCCAATATTGTGTTTATAATATATTTGGTTTACAACAGGAGGTATTCCATCTTAGTCCTCACGGGTGACAACGCATCTGCATTTTGATTCACAAATGAGGATAGATGTAGATGTCCTTGGGCAACAGCAACCACTTACCATCAGGTGGCTGTGTGCTCGTTTGTCACTCTATCCTATAAAAAAATTCACTCCAAATTCATTACAGACTTATTATTGTGTAAAGTCCTATATCGGGCCCAGCCTATGTGAAAATATTTTTGGCATTATACCAACATATACCTGTAGTGAATATGGGTCATTTTAGTCCATAAATATAGAATTTGTTAATAACTTGACTAAGGCGACTGACATTGAAACTGAGCGTGCGATGACTTATCAATAATCAATGCTATCTTTGTTTTACAAAAGAGAACCATAAGAGCAATTTATAACCTAGGTCCAAGGGAATCCCTTAGAGAAAAATTTTAAGAAATAAATATATTAACTTTGTCCTCTCAATATATTTACGAAATTTTAATGTAGGTCCACAAAATCAAAAGTAGTTTTATTAAAACTAGTGATATACATTCTGTAAATACTAGGAATAGACACAAGCTAGTAATACAAGTTACTCGACTACAAAGAGTCTTTTAGAACAAATTCCCAGAAAATATGCAGACCTTATCTATCAAAAGGTTTAAAATATTTATTAAACAAAATTGTCTAGTAAGGGTTATTATACTACTAAAGAGTACATCATTGATAATAACCCCTGACAATGAGATGATCGCCACCATGCCGTATCTAAATGTTTTCATAACAATTGTATAAACAATACATTGTAAGCTTTTAGAAAAAAAGTCCCGCTGGGTTTTTTGCTGCTTCTTCCCAGGAAAGAGGTATTTTTTTCCGAACCATTGGTAAAATGTAAAAATAACTTTCAATAAGAATTACATGAAATCAATATTGAATAAAAATGATTCTATTCTATTCTATTCTGTATAGTGGCGGTGTGAGAATATCCACTACCCCATATCTTCACGTGGGTGTCGTAAGAGGCGACAGAGGGAAACAAACCAGGAGATGGGCAGCCACATCTTCTCAATGACAGCTAAAAATATAAAACTGTCAAGCGTAGTAGTATCCCACTATAACGCAATCAATGGGAAAGGTCTATATTTAACAGTAGATTTTTGCAAGACTTTTTTATAGGATCGGGTGACAAACGAGCACACAGTCCACCTGATGGTAAGTGGTTACTGTGACCCATAGACATCTACATCTATCCTCAATAAAGACTCAAGATGCAGATGCGTTGTCACCTGTGAGGACTAAGATGGAATGCCTCTTTGCCAGTAAAAAGGGTCTCCGGTTCTCTACACTCACCATACGAAACACAGCAGCATTAAGCTGCTATTTTACGCTGGTTTTCTGTGAGAGCGTGGTCCTTCCCCGGTCGAGCCGACCCATTCGTGCTACAACCATAATATAGCTGCAGCATGGCTCTACCACGTAGCGTAGACTGTAGCGGTAATGGTAATTACTTGACAACAGCACTTCTAATCGAATCCAAACATAGCTTTAAACCACGTGTTCTCGGCAAAATCTATTGTGCTAATAATTGGTCAAAACTATCAGAAAATCACGATCATTAACAAACGAATCAACGATATAGACAAAGACGACCAACAGTATATTTGTTCTTCGCTCACTAATCAGATCCGATTGCAGCTATGAACGATTGACTCGACAAAATAAAATCTATTGTGTTAATTATGAGCACAATCGGTTAAGTCGTTCAGAAGTTACACGATCACTAATTGACGCACCAACGACATAAATAAAGACAACCAACAGTATGTTTATTCTTCTCTTATTATATAACACCTTTCTCCCTCAGCTCTTTGTGACCACGGGAGTGACTCTGAACATGGCCGGACATGGCGTCGCAAATGGATTTGCGGCGATTCTACTGCCGCAACTTCGTAAACAGGACTCTGTCATTCCAATCAATGACACTTCAGGATCTTGGATTGGTGAGTATTAAAAATTAAAGTAAAAAAATAAATGACATAAAAAGTAAATTTTACAGTTTTCGATAGATAGCGGTAGAACTATCTCATTACTTGAGGCGCGGCCAATACTGTTGGTATTGGCCGCGACCGGAAGCAGTGGCAAAGGTGCAAGACGTCTGGTACTGCGATCGTTGGTCCGCCAGCCAAGCGCTGCGATTAATGCAAATACTCCCTCTTACATTGGGAGAAACACATGTCTGAAAGTGGCCTTTTACGGATTGATTAAGAAGATCTTTCCGAGTACTCAAACACCAGCTGATTTTGTAAAATTAAAATTTAAGTTACAAACCAGCACACAATCCATCTAACAGTAAATGGATGCTGTTGCCCATAAACATTTACATTATATCCTCGATTAAGAATCAAAATACAGAAGAGTTGTCACTCGCGAATACAAGTATAGAATGCCTCGTTTCCAGTAAAAAGGGTCTTCGGTTCTCTACACTTATTGTTACGGCCTACGGCTGCTCCTACTTATCATATGAAACACAGCAGTATTAACCTGATATATTACGCTGAATTTCTTTGAGAATGTTATTTTCGGAAAGTTTGTCCCATAATGATTTCTTATATTTACGCGAACAATACATATTTAAATAAAACTAATTTTACGGATTTTATCGTGTATATTAATTTAATTTATATTCCCGACGTTTCGAGCAGTTTACAGCACCCATGGTCACAGGGGAACTGAGATGTATGACATCCCAATGTCATAGTTAACCGCGGCTACCTCCAGATTAAAATCCAGTTCCGATCTATGCAGTATGAACTTACAGTATCTTGAAGTCTTGCAGTTGTATGCTTGGGTTGGGTTTTAATTTTATTAATTATGGGATCCCAAGCAGATGGTAGCAACCAGCCATCTTCTCTATTGAAGTTAGTATGTATATACTATCTATGCATTCACTCTCACATTCCGGTGGAACGGAAATCCGACACGACCGGATAGCGATCCGGTGCGGGATCAATGGCCTTAAATGCTTTCCATGGCACGGGGGTGAAACACCGCCAACTTCCTGTCTTCGGATTGCTACTGAGACTTTTTGGACAGAAAATCCCAATAACTCATTTTGTTCCGACGCGGGATTCGAACCCAGAACAACGTGATCAGCTGTCGCGCGAATAAAAAGTATAATGCTGCTTCATACTACCTGTTTCTGGACTAACTGTTTGTCATTGTTCAGGAGTATATCTACATTGGTACCACCCTCTCACGTATTTTTGCATGTAACGTATTATGGCTGCACCAAGAATGTTTCGGCTTGACCGGACCAGCTGCTGAATATGATGGTGAACGACAATAAGAGAGTCGTAAACCCTTTTTCACTGGTAACAACGTATCACATCTTAGTTTATAAAGGTAGTTGTACTACTGCCATTGTGCTATATTTTGTTTTTTACCATATATTTTCTTCAACTAGAAACCTTGGACCTAGGACCGTGCTTTGTGGCATTCCTTGGGCGAGGCCTATGTTCAGCAGTGAACTTATGAAAGGCTGTAATGAATGAATGAATGAAAAACTAGGAACCTGCAAAAATAACTAGCTAACAGGCTGGTGACGCGTGGTTCAAAATTGGAATAAAGTGGACTGTAATAGGTAGTTGGAATTGGATTTCGTTGAAAATTGCAACCGACACATAAAACTGAAGGCACGCACCTGGAGAACGCCGTCAGCTTCTTTTTTACTTGAGGTTGACACTCGCGTGGTACACTCCTAGTTTTCTTGCGCGATTTACACTTATTTTATACAATTCACGGCCGTGATTTTAGGCGTATAATAATTAAACAGATATGCGAGTCGCGAGCGTCACACAATAAATATGCTTCCGCGTGCGGGCGTGTTCTTACTTAGACTTCTCCTTCTACCCGATTGCCGGTCGCAAGAAGGAATTAGTGGAATAAATGAAGGTATTATACAGGAAATCTGATTCGTCGATAAGATTGACCAAAACGCGGAATATTTTAATTTGAGAAATGGCGGTAACACAGGCCTTTTGATGTTCAGTGTCTACTGCAGCCCGTGGTCATCTCTGACAATTAAGATGGATGCCTCATAGCCTGTAATTACATTGGCTCTCTTTATATAGAGAACGGAACACAGCAGTGTACTCAATGGTACCTAATGGTACTCCTTATAAAATGTATCTCAAATACTTACTTTTAATGTTTTTATTCTTTCAGCGGCCGTCGCAGGTTTTGCTCTAGTCGGGGGGAATTTTATTATTCCTTTTATAATGGGAAAATATGGAAGAAGAATAGCTAACATGGCTAGTCTTGTGCCCATGATCTTAGGCTGGATATGTATTGCATTAGCTTCTAACGTAACCATGCTTATTGTCGCAAGATTACTCCAAGGTCTATCAATGGGTATGGGAACTACCCTCGGACCGGTGCTGATCGGTGAATATACAAGTCCAAAGAATCGTGGCGCTTTCCTGACAGCAATATCAGTTATGATCTCCATCGGGGTTTTAGCTGCACATACATTGGGATCTTATTTGCACTGGCAGACAACGGCAGTAACCTGCGCGTTTATAACTCTAGCTGATTTTATCATTGTTTTGCTGTCACCAGAATCACCGAGTTGGTTAGCTGACCAGGGCAAATTTGAAGAGTGTAAGAAAGTATTCAGATGGTTACGTGGAGATAGCGAAGAACATGAACTACAAAGAATGATAGATGATATTGCAGCTGTAAAAGAATCAACAATCAAACAGAAGGCGTCAGTTTCTTTTAAGAAAGTTATATGTCAGAGATTTAAGTACGTTAAAACAGTGTTAACAAGAAAGGAATTTTACAAGCCGATTCTTGTAATGATACACATTTATACACTATCGCAGTGGGCTGGTGTAAACATTTTAATAACGTACACAGTGGATCTTTTAGAAAGAATAATTGGCAATGGGATGGATTTGGCGTTGTTAGTGATTACTTTAGATTCCCAACGGATCGTTTCAAATATTGCAGGGGTGTATTTTATTAAAAATAGGAAACGGCGAACCATGTTATTAGTGACTGGATTTTTAGCTATATTTGCGATGTTAGCTACAGCGGTGTATACTTACTTAAAAGAGAACAATATGCTAAGTTACGATCATCCTTTTATCGGAATCATACTTCTACACATACATATGCTGTCGGTCGGAATTGGTAGTTTGCCATTATCTTACATAATAGCCGGAGAACTTTTTCCTTTAGAATTTAGAAGCTTAGCTGGAGGAATAAGCGTGTTATTCAATTCCATGAGTTTCTTCATAGTTGTCAAAACTGTTCCGTCTCTATTTAAAACGATCGGTCTTCATGGTGCCTACTGTATATACACCGGTGTCGTTGTTTATTGTTTGATAATAGCGTGGTGGTTGTTACCAGAGACTAAGGACAGGACGCTGCAAGAGATTGAAGACCAGTTCAGGGGGAGAACTAATTCGGAGAAATCTATACAATTATCGCCACTGAAAACTATGGCTTGAATAAAATAACAAAAATTGGATGTGAAATCACAAATATAAGTGTTTTGCCTACAAGAGAGATTGGATGTTGGAGATTGTAAATATAAGAAAAGATTCTTTATTTTCGTCAGACCATAGTATTCTACTGAACATATCACTGAACTTAGTATTCTCTGCTTACTTATAAATTGACTGTTAGATAACTCTTAAGGTGTTAAATCCACCGTTGTACTTTTTTGTGCAACGAAATTTCGAGCCTCTCCCGTTCTAGATAAGATTTGTCTTAATCGTCACGCTTGGCTTGGCCACAGGTGGATTGGCGATTGCAGTACCGGTACTGTCTGGACGTGTCGCACCTATGACGCTTCTAACATCCATAGGAGTGGGGATGATAAGTCTGGTTATCCACCGGAATCAAGAACAATTGTTTTATATTTCCCATAGACGTCTTTTACGACACCATGACACGGCAACACTGAAGGATTAATACTATCAAGGATAAATTAAGTTTTTTTTAAAGATGAGGGGGCAAACGAGCAGCACCTGATGGTAAGTGACTACCGCCGCCCATGAACAACAGCAACACCAGGGGAATTCCAAGTGCGTTGCCGGACTTTAAAAAAGGAGTAAGCTATTTTCTTGAAGGTCCCTAAGTAGTATCGGTCCGGAAAAATCGCCGGTGGTAAACAATTATACAGAAAAGTTAAACGAGGAAGAAACAAGGTAGAATTAAGTAGGTTTCAAATCATGGCTGCATCGTATTTTCAGTCAGCCACTTCTCTGTTGTGATCGCGAGGAGAGCAATGGCTGTATCATGTGCTAGAAAAAATATGGGCGGACCACCGTATTTTCAACTTACACTAATAAGCTTCTTTTGTGACGGTGATCCATTAAAATTATGTAGAGATCCAATTGTATTTCTTTTGATACACGTAATGTAATGTAAAACACTAATTCTTTACGTGGTCAAGCCATGCTGCAGCTTTATATTGTTGTGGCACGGAATGGTTGGCTAGACCGGGTAAAGACTACACTTTATCAGAATACTAGCGTAAAATAGCATCTTAATGTTGCTGTGTTTCGTATGGTGAGCGTAGAGAACCGTAAACACTTTTTACTGGAAACGAGACATTCTATCGTTCTATTCGAGTGATATCGCATTAACTATAGTTATATTATGTTGGTATAGTACCAAAAAGGTTAGGTTAGTTTTTTTTTTATTTCAAGCATTTTGTACTTTATTAAAGGCTTGGTGCCAATGGAATACGCTTTGCCTTTAACTTTGCGTTGTGTAGTAATTAGTGTTTTGATAAATGTTAAGAGTGTTTAGATCGCTATAGATTTGGAGATCTATTATTTTTCTTGGTTTATAATAAAGGTGCAACAATCACTTACATTTTTGGGTTGGTTACATTATAGTTTTATTATTCTGTCATAAAGTAGTTATTTAAATGTATTTAAATAGAATATTAAAATTATTTATTTGTTAAACGGTTGATTTACACTGTGTATTATGAAAATAAGAATAACAGAAGAGAATATAAAACTGGACTTTACTGGAGATTTAATGACTAAGAGTTGATACTAATGTTAGTACGATATTGTTATTATTATTATATTACTATATTAAATAAAATTGAGCAAAGTAAAATAGAACTAAAAGGAATAAAAATAAGCTGTAGTTTTATTACTAATTATAAAATAATCAAAAGTATATAAAATTAAGGGAGGAATATAAAACTAGGTATAAGCTTATAAAACAAATGTAGCTAATAATGTAATAATAATGTAGTCATGATTATTAAATAATATTCTGCTAATTTAACTAAGTATTACAAAATTAGATGTTGTTCTTACTACTAAGTATAAAAGGAGCAAAAGAAACTAAAATTAAGACATATATAAAAATATATGTCTTAATTTTAGTTAGTATATAAAATAGTTTTTTTATTGTTTAGTTTAGTTTTCTTAATTGAATTAACGTAACTATAATGATAATGTATGTTTTTTTCTTAAATAATATAAAATATAAAACAGTATATTTATTATGTTATATTATTATATTTTTCTTCTGCCAACAAACTGCTCTGCAGTTTAACGGCAGAAGAAAAATGCGCTCTTTCTTCCTTTGTACGTGGTAGAGCCATGCTGCAGCTATATTTCGGGTATAGTTTTAGCACGAATACCACGCTCTCACAGAATACCAGCGTAAAATAGCAGCTTAATGCTGCTGTGTTTCGTATGGTGAGTGTAAAGAACCGGAGACCCTATTTACTGGAAAGAGGCTTTCTATCTCAGTCCTCACGGGTGACAACGCATCTGCATTTTGATTCGCAAATGAGGATAGATGTAGATATCTATGGGCCACAGTAACCACTTACCATCAGGTGGACTGTGTGCTTGTTTGTCACCCTATCCTATAAAAAAATAACATGCAAAAAAAGCTTAATACAAATATACAAATGTAACATATCAATAGTATCAATATATACATATACATATACACATACATATATACATACACAAGCACACAACTATAACTACGGCTTACATGGTTGTATAATGGATCGTCACGATACATATGTCAAAATTTTACTATTTATTATTACCTATTTTTTTTTAACTTATTTGATAATGTTATTACTACATATGTATATTGTATGTGATGACTGTTGTTTCCTTTGTAGTAATTAGCTTAATATTATTTGGGTCAATATTTATTATAGTTGCCGCAATCAAATGTTCACTGCGTGTGATAATGAATCTACAGCAGTATTTAATTAAGTGCCTTATTGATTGTATTTCATTGCATGGACATAGGTTGTTGGGTGTGATTTTGAATCTGTGTAGATATTCCTTGTGATATCCGTGATTGGTAATTAACTGTGTTATTGAAAAGTTAGGTTTCATTACTGTAAGGAAGTTATGCAAGTCATTTAATGTTGGAAACACTGTCTTGGTGTATATACAGCTACTTGGTTTAGAGTAAAGGAGAATGGGATTTTTGGGCTTGAAGTTAATTAATTAGTTTATACTTTAAAAAATTGGTCATATTTTTACAAAGTAAAATACAAAAAAATAGCTCTTTTTACAATCTAGAATTAGAAAAAACAATAAAATAAGAAATAATTTGGAAAATCGATTGTATTTGTTATTCTTTATGGCAATAAATCGATTACCATAAAGAATACACTAGTGAAATCTTCTTATTTTGAAACTTGACTTGACAGTTCAAACCATAGATAAATAAATATGTAGCAAGCTAGTTCAAATTTCAAACTACTTACTTAAAAGAAAAAGACAGATTTTCGATTCGATTTGAAACCAGCGCACTATAATCGATTCTCGATTAAATCGAGCATTTTAATATCTATTTTCGATTATTTTTCTGTTAAGTAACTCCTTAACAGAAAAATAATCGAAAATAGATATAAAATAATTTTTTTTATTTAGTTAAATAATATTTTATAAAATAAAATAATTATTTAAAATAATAATAAAAATACAAAATATAAGCATTCCAACAAGTAACAGTTACAAAAGCAATAAAGTAATCACACAGATCAATATCCCTAATATTCACTTCACATAGTAGTTGTTGTTTTATCTTTCGTTAATAGTTTCATTATTAACCACAGCTATTTTTGGTGATTTTATATTGATCCTGCTTTTATATCTTTAAGTAATTATAGTGAAATATAGCCCGTTACAGTGTATAATAATAGTGAAAAATCATCTGTTATAGTGTAGGTAATAGATAATCTTACTTTTACTTATTCTACAATAATGCAGCTCCTACATTGACAAATCTTGCCAGATTTTCAGCTATGAATTGTTTATATATACGCTTTCAAACGGTCCTACTTTCATCTTGTTAACACTTGGGCCCAAGAATGTATTGAGACGTCTCCCTCTCCTTTATTTTTGTTGTATTTATTTTTATATTTCTTGCTATTGTTTGTGTTTATTTTTATATTTGTTGTAGTTATAGTCCGACTGTCCATATATTCGTTACCTGCGGTACCTATGTGAGCTCTTCTCCTATATGTTTTGTCTCAGAAGTATCATGCGTATAAAAGTCAATAGATGTAGTATAAGTGTACAAAATATAAACAAGAAATATCCTACTGTCTCTTGCAAAATTATGCTTGCCTAGTACTTTTCCTAAAATAAACTACTAAATTACTGATGAAAACATTTTTTTTGAAATGTTATCGATGTGTCGTACTATTTTCAATATTTATTATTCTCCTCCTCCCCAGCTTCGCACGACCATCGTCTAAACCATCTAGGTACCTATTCAAACACACACAAAGAATTTTATAAAAATCACTTGAGCTGTTTTCAGTTTTGGCAATTGGTTTTTAAATGAAGATATATTTAATATTACTTGTAAGAGATAAAACGTAACAAATTTTTTGTCAATTTATGCAAACGAGTTATAGTTATTTACAGCTTCTAAGTAATTTAGAACGACTAATGACATCATCGTTTTTTGGTAGAGGTGGTCTTTATCTGACACCCTTAAAATCTCACATTTAGTAAAAGAATGACTATCTTCTACCGACTTCAAACAGAAGGATGTACTCAATCCGACTGTATGTTTTCTTATGGGTGTTAACTCATAGCTTTTTTCTGGTTGAACCAATTTAGATGATTCTTTTTTTCATTTGAAAGTTGGTGCTTCACATGTGGTCCTATATAAATTTAATCAAGATAAGATTAATCTTATCTTGATTAAATTAAGTCATGTAATTAATAAATATGTGATTTAAATACATCATTCATTTTATTTATAATTTCCAATCACGTAGCGTAATTACCATTTTTAAAATACTAATTACCGTTTGTTTCATATCTCATCACCGTTGGGTGAAAATTTTTAGCTTCAGATTCAGGCCTATATAGCAGTTCAAATACTGTGCGTTTGATATATTTCGTTAATCTTCACTATAAAATTTACGTTAAATCCATAAAAAAGATAATTGGAAGCATTATTTGAACTTAATTAACAAACCCTG